TGGACTACTGTTAATTCCAGGTGGAAAACTTCTTCTTCCATAACAAGCTGCCTCTTTTCTACAATGTGTAGAAATGATCCAACATAGTATAGCTCAACTTTTGAGCCTGAGAGAAAGGCCAGAAGTTGATCCAAAGTAAAACTCTAGGATATAAAATTTTTTAAAAATCAAAAATAATAAATTGAGAAGAATCAAACTTCTATAAATACAGCCTTTCTAGGTAACTACACATTACATCCCAGAACTAATTTAAACAAGGAATACAATAAGCCTATTAGAAATACCATGGTCCAAATTAGTAGTATTTATAAACAAAATGCCTTAAAAACTCGGGGGTTCCACCATCTGTGGAAATGGGTCATTCTGTGTGGGAGAAGATGAACTCCAAGAATGTCTTTGTTTTTAAGTGTTTTATGTTTTAGAGTTCTGTAAATATTCCCTGTAGGGGGAAAAAACAGAATTATTCAGAGCTGCTTTCAAGTAAGATCAGAACAGGAGGCTCAGGTCAAAGTCTCATTTCCAGTTAAGTGCAAAGTTGCAAATCTTCATTTGGTTCTTTATACTGGTTTGTCATAAACTGACCTGAAGAGAGTGGACCCATAGATAAGCAGATGCACTGGTTGGAAGTATCTTCCATTCTCAATTTCTGCCTTCCTGAATAATCAGAGGAAATGAGTGAAAAAACCTCTTTGTTGGCCGGGCACAGTGGCTCACACCTGTAAGTCCAGCACTGGGAAGCTGAGGTGGGTAAATCACCAGGTCAGGAGTTCAAGACCAGCCTAGCCAAGATGGTGAAACTTTGTCTCTACTAAAAATACAAAAATTAGCCAGGCATGGTGGCGGGCACCTGTAATCCCAGCTATTCTGAAGGCTGAGGCAGAGAATTGCTTGAACTCAGGAAGTGGAGGTTGCAGTGAGCCGAGACCAAACCACTGCATTCCTGCCTGGGGGACAGAGTGAGACTCTATCTCAAAAACAAAACAAACCTCCTTGTAAGACATCTTGCTACAAAATTACTCAACACAAATGGGTCTTTCCTGTTAATGCATTTTGTGATGGGGAAAAAAGGGATACATTTGCGAAACCCAAACTAAGAAGGAGAGAGAAATGTGAGGCACCAACAAAGAACCCAGCCCTAAGCATACACTAAATCAGGGTTGATCAGCTGCACACTAGATCCCTAGTCCTTGGTTCAGTTCATCCCACTCTGCAATACTTCCTGGACTTAAATCACTCTTAACTGTTGGCTCTACTTCACTTCTAAAAGTGTTTTCTTACAGGAAAATTAAGATACTCCTTTTACTGGAGATAAGCTGGATGTCACAAAGTTAGATTTAGAAACCACTATAATTAATGTTAGGGCCTCTGAGTTGAAAGGGTATTTCCTTGAGGAAATGACATCTAATCACTTGAGCTCAGGAGTTTGAGACCAGCCTGGGCAACATGACAAGACCCTGTCTCTGCAAAAAAAAAAAAAAAAAAAAAAAAAATTAGCTGGCTGTGGTGGTGTGCACCTGCAGTCCATCTACTAAGGAGGCTGAGGTGGGAGGATTGCTTGAGCCCAGGAGGTCAAGGCTGCAGTAAGCCATGAATGTGCCACTGTACTCCATCCTGGGTAACAGGACCAGACCCTGTCTTAAAAAAAAAAAAATACAGAGAGAAATTGCAGTTGAGCCAGAAATACTGGTGCTCATATCATCAGATGTATGTTCTGGTTTCAGTGGTTAGGAAACAAGGGTTTCATTCTAGATTGGCCTCTGTGGCCAGAGGGAAGAATGTCCCATTTAATTCAAAGTACAAGAAGTTCTACCATAAAGTAAATCACATTTTAAGGGGAAGTGAGTGCACAAAACCTACCTATAAGTCTTCATAACTAGGTCTTCTAGAGAAAAGAAAAAATAGAGGCTGTGGAAATCAGGGAAAGAAGTTGTTTTGATAATGAGACAAAAGTAATAACAAAGATATAGAGTGGCAAAGATGCATTTGTTATTATACGAAGACTGGAGCACATCGGCCATGTGCCAAATGGAAGGTAAACCAGGTAAGTTTCTAATCTTCCTTTTGTAGAAAACAACGCATTGTTGGATATAACCGAAAATGCAGATTATTTGTCAGCAGCCTTGGATAGTTTTTTTCTCTAATATCATTTAACCAAAAAGAAATTTCCTATTCTCCACATGCAGGTTTACACATCCCTGGGCTGGTTTTAAAGATAAACAATGTAGCCAAAATAGTAATCTTCCTCAGGACCCAACAGAGCTTAAGCCCATGAATAGCCTAGTTCTGGGTATTCATCACATCTTTTGGAATAACAGCACCCAGGGCGGGTATTTATAGTCCAGTGTGAGGGGTAGGCAGGATGAGATGAGTCATACTTTATTCTTCGCTGCTCAAGGCTGTTCTGAGCCTTTCCCTCTGACTCAGCACCAGTGGCCTCGAAGCTGACAAGGCCCAAATGCAGCAGCATATGCTCAGGAAGCAGTCGTACTGCTTAATGAAGGTAGCTTAACCATCATGTTCATTCCTAAGTCTCAGGCAAAATGTAAGAAAGAAGGTGACGGAGGGTTGGAGCTCCAGGGTGCTCTCAGGGGAAACAGCAGACCAGGGAAATAAGGGAAATGCTTGAGAAAACAAGAGTCTTCTTCTCCGAGTTCTTCTCTATTGCTCCCCTGGACTGACCTCTCCTAAGGCCTTTGTCATAATTGCCCATTTCAATAAAAATATCTTATGTTTAAAAAGAACATGTAAGGGAAAGAATACTGTATTGAATATTAGGAGACCAGCTAGGTTCTAATCTCTTTCATGTCGCAAACCTGCTGTGTTATCAGACATTTCAACTTCTCTGGACCACAGGAGAGAAAGAAAAAGAGAGGGATAAAGAAGGGATTCATATAGTGAGAAGATCAGTGCTCCCTCCAAGCCAGCTTTCCAGGATTCCCTTCAATGTGCCTTGGGAGTCTCATCTCCTTCCTTGCCACAGTCCTGGCAGGCCTCCATGGTGCCGAGGTAGAAGTAGGAAGTAGGTCATCAGGTCCCTTTACCTGAATTGAGTCATGGCTTACCACCACTACCACTACCACCAGCAAACACCCTGTCTCTTTTTGCTGCCTCAGCACCTAGGGATTTCCTTTTACTTCTCCTCATCAGTTAATCACAGTCCACCTATAGCCTCAGTAGGAGTCTCTATGCCTGATGCCTCCATTCATACCTCCGGAGCTCCTCTCCCGCCCTCTTCTCTTTTGCTGTTGGACACTGGCCTTTCCTGCTCCTGTCCATCCTCACAACTGTCATTTGCCCATCCCTAAATCCATCATCCTTGTCCAAAAGATTCCCACTGCCCAGGGAAGGAGTCAGGAAGAACAGAAAGAACTGGAAGAAGATATATAGACCATGTTTGGAGGCCTAAGGAAAGAAAAAAAAAGAACTAGAAGAAAAGAGAAAACGAAGACCTCTTTCCACTGCTAAGGTTTTTGTTGTCAGGAATGCATGTTTTGGGGACACAATAGGAGCTTAAAAAATGTGTACTAGTGAATAAAATAGCATTCCCTAACCTAAACCCTTAAAGCTGTTTCCCAGAGTGACACTATTACATAATTTAGTTCTGTATTTCATGTACCCAGGATGGGGTAAGCAGCTTTTCTGTGGGCTGGCCTGGGAACCCCACTCTCATGATGTTTGTTTTTATGGGAAAATGCTGCCTGAGTGGCAAACGATGGACTTACCAATGATCTTTGTAAACCACCTTTCCTTCCTCAAGCATGGTTTATATAACAGGAAAATTTAAAACTCTGCTAGGCAAAAGAAGAAATCAAACAGCAGCCATCTCCAGCTATAAAATAATTCTACATACATATATTATCATATATAGATGTGCATATATGTACAAATATGTAAGAAGTAAGGTGGTAAAAGTAAATTACCTAGTTGATCTAATATACACATATACCTCGCTCTCACCTTCATTTATAGCTGGGTCAGCATCCCTAGACTATCCCCCAAAATACATGTTTAATGTGAGAAAAAGGTTTCAGTAGGCTGGACATGGTGGTTCATGCCTGTAATTGTAGCACTTTGGGAAGCCGAGGATCACCTGAGCCCAGGGGTTTGAGACCAGCCTGGGCAACATAGGGAGACTCCACTTCTATAAAAAAATAAAATTAGTCGAGCATGGTGGCATGTGCCTATAGTCCCAACTACTTAGGAGGCTGAAGCTGGAGGACTTGAGCCTATGAGTTCAAGGCTGCACTTAGCTATAATCAAGCCACTGCACTCCAGCCTTAGGCAATACAATGAGACTTTGTCTCAAACAAAACAAAACAATACAAAACAAAGAGAAAGGGTTTCCGTAATGTTGAGAATACCAACTACAGTACAAAGGAAGTGCAGAACTATATGGTAACACCTGAGATCAAGAAAAACAAGTATTTGGAAATGAACACAGACACCCAAAAGAGCTAAACGGAGACAGTATAGTTCCCTAAAATACTCATTTTCTTCTTTAGAAAATAAATGCATGGATGCTCTTGGCTCGAGGCTGGGAAGTTGTGGAGGGGGTGACGTACGGCACACACTCTCCTTTACCTTTACAACAGGTCTAATGGGCCTCTGAGAAGGGGAAAAGACACAGAGACAGGAATCGGTGAGGTGCTGGGGTGGGCCTGAGTGTGGGTGAAGACTTGGAAAGAATTTTGTATGTGGAGCTGAGCTGCTTAGGTCTGAAAGGCTTTGTTATAGGGGATTGTGGGTTCTGAAATAGGACGAAGAACTGAGCAATACAAATGCAAGGTCTGTGAGGGTGTGCCATCCACGCTGCTGTCCATATGAGCCATATTTATGCCACCTCTGACTTCACAGCTACCAAATACCTGGCATGCACCTGGCACTTCAATTCAGTCTTTCATCATAAAACTGAACATGATGGAGGAGGCCTCAGAAAAGAAGGGCAGGAGGCAGGAGGGCAGGGGAATGGCACCTCCCTGCTTTTGTCCAGCACAACTCACCTCATAGAAGAGTCCTTCTGGGAATTGCTGGAAGCACTGAGCGCACACGAAACACTGCTCATGGTACAGCTCCCCGTTACTGTTCACGATCTTCTCAGCGGGTGCAAAGCCGCCCCTGCAGCGCTCACAAGTGGCGCTGGCCAGGGCATTGGCCATGTTGCTGTAACACAAAGAATGGCAGGTTGCAGACTGTCATCCTCTTCTTAGATCAAAGACCAAAACAACACTAAGAACCCAGCAGCAAATTCTATCTGATTGCAAAAATCCTATTTTATTTAAAAAGCTCAATTTCTTGCTAGTTCCTTATATGCTCTAAAACTAGGACTCTTCAGTCTCTTTACCCTAGCATCTAAGGCTCTCTACGGGTGTCCCACTTTGATTCTGTTTCTAACATTTTTGGCATTCTTTTTGCTAAACTATTAGTGTGTGCCTACTATGTGTTAGGCATCTGAGACAGAGGTGAAAGTTATGAGCTGCTCTCAAGTAACCTGGGTTTACAGCTTAATAAGTAGCTTAATTAAAATATCCACAAGTCAATATCTCAAAACCAATTTCTTTCCCTCCTGAGAACAGAATCTAAAATGCACGTCAACTAAATGCTATGTCATATAACTTAGATATAGGTTATTCCTCTGATTAGCTTCTGTGGAAAGCAACTGCTTAAGTAGCCTTAAAACCAGCCAAGATGCCCCAGTCCTATTACCTAATTGGTAAGATGAACCTGATTGCCAGTATTATAAAATATAACTTAAAATCACAGAATTTTACATAATAAAGATCATTTTATAGATAGCAAAACAGGTTCACAGAGATGGAAGGATCAGTCCAACAGCACAAAGCTAATTAGTTAAAGGAAGACACAGGACTAGAAATCCAGGTCCCCTGCTCGTAAAATCATACTGTCAATCAAAACAGATTACAGCATGAATTTCAAACACTTGAAAGGACATGATAGGGATACCACCACGTTTTATACATCAGGAAAGTGACACCAGGCTGTCAAGCTACGTTTGTGGCTGGTAACGTGGGAAATTCCCCCACCAGAGGCCCCACTATACCTTAAAACACAGAAAGCATTCAGTAAATAATCTCAGGCTCTCTCTAACCATTGTGCTATTTGGAAGAAAAGCAACATGGCGGCTAGGTGTAGTGGCCCACACCTGTAATCCAGGCACTTTGAGAGGCCAAGGCGGGTGGATCACTTGAGGTCAGAAGTTTGAGATCAGCATGACTAATACGGTGAAACCTCATCTCTACTAAAAATACAAAATTAGCCGGGTATGATGGCGCATGCCTGTAGTCCCGGCTATTTGGGAGAGTGAGACAGAAGAGTCCCTTGAACCTGGGAGGCAGGGGTTGCAGTGAGCCATGATTTCGCCATAGCACTCCAGCTTAGGCAATAAGCATGGAATTCCACCTCAAAAAAAAAAAAAAAAACAAAACTCCGCCTCAAAAAAAAAAAAAAAAAAAAAAAGCAGCATGGCTTTGACAGACAATTAAATGAGGATTTCACATGAAGAACTGTTTTGTTTCTTAGAAGTCCTAGAAATGGAGAAGGCCCCCCCATGCAGAGCAGTAACCGGCCAAACGGTCCTTCGATTTCTGGCAAGTTTATTTTCACAGGCCTACTCACAGCATGAGTTCTACCTGTGTGTCTAGTTCCCTGGTGCAGCTTCTGACCTTTCAGGTATTTAATCAGCCTACTTTGTGAAGTTATTACTAACGTTCTCCTGAATTTTCACAATCAACCAGTGAGGCACACAGGTGGACAGTCTCCATTCTATAGGCAGGGTAACTAATTGCCTTGCCCCTATTGGTTTCCAAGTTTTGCTGTTTCCTTAGCAAGTGGTCCCTATTACTTGCTTCACTCCCCTCCACACCTCTGGAAGACAACTTTCCTTTTGCCTTTCTCTCCCAAATGTTTCACAGAACAGTTAACCTGTTTTGTAGCCTTGCCATAAATAACCGCATGTAGACACACCATGTTCATCACTTCAGACAAGTCAACTTTATTTAACAGGTTTGAATGTAATTAAAATGCCACCAAAAAAAAGGAAGGAAGGTAGAAAGGGAGGCAGCTTCACTGCTCAGTTAAACCTGGCCTAAGCCTCATGTTAAAATGAATTTCTACTTTGTCATTTCAAAGTTACTGTGGGTTGGGGGAAAAAATCTGTAAAATTCTCGTTGTCACCCAGCTTTGCCATAAGCCAGATGATTGTGGCAGTTTTAAAAAACTCTGGAGAGTTTTGTGCTTCTTCCTCCTCCTGACCAAAGTACACAGGTGTTCTTGGATGGAGGAACATGGTAAGCCCCATACCTGCCCAGTCATTCTCAGTACTGTTCTCAGGAAAAAGTATTTATACCCACTTGGAAACCAGAGATGCTACTCAAATATATGGCACTGTTCTTAATTCTAAACCCTCTCAAAAGATTAGACAAACCTCAACAATCTTAATGGGACTCTAAAAAAGCCCCAAAAGAATATTCTAGAATGACCCGGCTCATTATAACCTAATCAGTGGTTTGCAAAATGTCAGGGTCACCATGACCCTCCAGGGGGCAGAAACGTCCTCTTTCCCAACTACATCTCTGTGGGAGGCCATATTTTCTTCATATATTTCATCTAAAATAACATACTGTAATAGGTTGAATGCAGAAACAAATATGAGAAACTTTTATTAAGACAGATATTAATAAGATTTGCAAAAATGTAACATAATGCCATCCTTTCTCTAAGCCTCTTCCATTTTGGAAAAGTTATTTCTCATGAAAACATTAATATTAACATTTATTATTATTAACATGTAATAAGCTTATTGTTTTTAAATGAATTAAGTATTTTAAATTGTTCCCAATTTAAATTTCCAGTTTCCCAGTATTCTGATACAGTAAATACTGTTAAATGAAAGTTCTTTGGGGACCTTAATTGTTTTTAAGAGTGTTAACAGGCTCTTAGATTTAAATGTTTGATTAATGTCCAGTTTAAACTCACATAATATAGATTGTTTCTACTTAAGTTCAAATACTGAAGTAGAATTAGGAAATAGGTAGATACATCATAAAAAAAAGCACACAGTTATCTCCCACACACAGGAAAAATGTGCTAGTTTTAGAGATAATATACATGTATTTTTCAAGAAGTATTTCTTTTAATAATAAGCAGGGGAAAAAAGGAAACAGAACAGTCACCTTGCTGTCCCCTGAACCAGTCAGGTTTCCCTTTCCTCTTTTGCCGTTGACACTCTGGCACAATGCCTTTTTTTTAAATGTTGATTTTATATTTAATATTACAGATGACAGAAATTACTTTTAAAAAGTCATTAGTGACAATTACAGCTATCATCAGATTAGTTATAATTAATTAGCTAAGTTTTCAGAAAAATATTTTCATTAAAAAGTGTTGATAACAAGAAATATGTAAGTGGCGAGTATAGATAGATATTTATATGTATAAGCCTTTAGGGCAGCTTCTTCATATCAGGCCAGGGATGGCTGATGAAGCTGATCCACTTCCACAAATCACCCTCACATAGCACACTTGAAATCTTGCTTTCTGTTATTCAAGTCCTAAAATGCAGCAATGTATAAATCCAAAATCATCTTGAGAATTCACCCAGCAGTTAAAATATTAGTTACCGTATTATTACAATTCCCTAATTACTGTTAAACAGAGCTCTCTGTGAGTTGTGAAGATAAGTGATATCTGTACCACAGAGCATGAATGATGGAATCAGAGAACCAGGTCAGTTAAATTCTCATTAACTCTTACTTGACAAATTGGGGATATGTAGTAATTCTAAGCTCACAACTTTAAATAAGGTAAATAATCTTGAGCTGGTCTGATGGCCACTCTGCATTTTCTTTAAAAAATGTGTTTGCTAAAACCCATTTAATAGTATCAATTAGCCTAACTTTTCAGAGTTAACAGTATGTTCTATATGTATATTGATTTGCTTCTTATATACAATATATATATTTATTCATTCAATTAAGAAAACCAATTAGCTTACTCCAATTTGTTGATTGTTACACACAAAAATAATTTATATTTACCAACAGTCTGTAATTTGTTTTTTCACTGTTCCAACTCATTTGCCCCTTATCTTTGGGACGTTTTGGAGTACACAATTTTTCTAATGTAATTCCTGATAATGAAAACACTAAGCCTCCCTCATGGATGAAATGATGAAAATGCAGCTACCAAGTGATCAGGAACCTACTGAAGACAGGGCCACTGTGCTCTCACAGTGAGGGCAGCACCTCCCACCCATCTGCATGTCGCTGGAAGTCTTACCAACAAGGTAGCCTCCTGTCTCCTTAAACATGCTGCGCTGCAAGCCCCTCGGAGCCCTACCACCCGGGAAAACTCCTGCCCAAAGTCCAGTCAATAAAACTACATGGGCCAGGTCAGGATGGCTCCTGAATAGAGAGCCAAGAATGCCAGACCTGGAAGAGGGGCACTCCGGGAGAGGAGACACTCACAATTTTGCATAAAAGTCACAGAACTCCTTGTAGACTTTCACGTCACTGTGCCTGCGCTGCAGTTTGGAAACAGCTCTCTCGTCCTCAGTCTCATTGGCCTCGTGGACATTGTTAAGGGCTGCTTGGGGGATTTCTTCGTTCTCTGGGATAACGCAGGGGCGCACTCGGCCTGAGAGGGCCATTGTGGGTGCTTGAGAGCTCTGAGCACAGGGACGAGAGCAGCAGGACACAGAGCCAGGAGAAACAATGTCCAGGCCTCCCTGCTTCCCAGCCAGGGTCACTCCCACTGTTCTCACACACGTCAGCCTGGCCCGCCAGGGTCACTGCTGCTGCTTCATGTTAAGAGCTCAGCAGCACAGTACATAGTCACATGGCAGGCAGGATTTACTGAGGCTTTCTGGAAGTTCTAAAAAACATTCCACAAAGTAGTGACACAGTCTTTGTCAGAGCAGCGGTCCCAGTGGACTATGCTATAAACACTGCATCAGGAGGCTGGGGCTGCCTCATAGGCCTCCATGAGAAGGAAATATCCATATGTGCCTTGCATATTTGCCACCAAACTTCATCACCAATGCTGTGCTCTTCACTCTGGAGGGCATAAAAGGCTTTTGGAGACCTTGTAAAATACCCCCTGACAAGCTCTCCATGAGGCTGAGGCTGCTGGCACACTCTGAGGAG